CAGAAGGAAAGACAGCGTGGTAAATTTAAAGTGAAAGTTCAATGTCAGGAGGAACCTAAATATGGACCAAGTCGAGTCACTTCGAACTAAATCAGACAAGTCGTGCGCTTCACCTTTCAGGCTCTGTTCAATAATCCTTTAAAGGGCCGGCACTTGCATTATTGAGCAGCCCTGCATGCTGAGGGAGACATTCTACAGCTGAGGATCAATGGGAGAAGAGAGTTTTAAGCTGATCTAGTCTGCTGAAACTTGTATTTCATCCCTTCGCTTCCATCCGAGTGTTAACGACCACTTTCTCAAGTCAGTGATCACTCAACTCTGCCTCAACACATTCTAGACATTTTTATTGAAGCATTAAATATGCACATCCATCAGTTGTCTTGCATTAGCAGTTATCGTTCTCTCCCCCATGCAGCTAAAAGCAGAGGATGCCTCTCATTAGGCGTTAGCTGCACTTTAACATTTATGGATTTTGTGCTGGAGGTTCTGAGCTCATCTTGGTTTCCGTCATGTAGACAGTAGATTCTGATGCTGCCCCCAAACAACCAGGGCCAGCAGCAATGGTTTCTCCTCAGTTAACTGCAGCTAAGGCTGAATAACTTCTTGCTGCAGAAAAATTCCCATTTTAAAACCCTTTTGCTCGAGGACAGAATGGGCCGTTTTATATTTTTCAAAGTCAGACGTTAATGTTCCCTTTGTATTTGCCTTTTAAACTGCATGACCGCAGTGCAGGTTGAATTTTGGACCATCTTTCCTGACAGAACTGCTGTGTAAGAGTCAGGCTGACAGACCACCTTGGATAAAGACAACTTTAAACCTGTGACCATAATTTATTGTGATGGAAGCTGCAAAAAAAAAAGAAAAAATGTGGCCGTATTCCCATCTGAAAGATCTGTTTTTACTCAGCTTCAGATTTCTGGCTTACTTGTTGAGATATTGCTTCAACATTTCCACATTGTCTTTTTCTCATGATGCTATATATCCATCTCGTTAAGTGCACAAGATTCCTCGTAGATCAATTTCAATGTCACAAAGCTTCAATATTAATCATTGTTGGGGTTCAGGAAAATGACTGCAAAAAAGCAGCAGCAAAAAAAAAATAAAAAATTTTCTCCAACCCTGATATTAAACATAAAATCCCAGACAGAGCCAGTGTTTAGCAGTTTATTTTTATTTACATTTAAAAACATTTTCATGGTAGCACATTCTTCAAACCTATGCATGCGAGATATGTCCCACAGACATATTTCAAAATTCATTAAAAAAAAAAGTAAATCTGAGATAAAAACTAACAATAAAACATAGGTTAAAAAAAGAAAAGAAAAAAAAAGCAGCATTTCCAACTTTGTGGCAAAAAAAAAAAAAAAAAAAAAAAAAAAAAAGGGGGGGAGGAAATTGGGGGGGTTTT